CTAAGACTATTTGATATGGATTAGTTATTCTTTAGCAATATATATGTTATCAATATTCCATCTTCAGAATCCACTGTATCAGACATTTAATTGGTTGGGGATCTAATTGCCTCGCGATACCCGGAATTCTGAAAATTAGGAAGACACACCGCTCCTCTGACTGAACCGGATGGCCCAGTTGTCACTGCCATAGAAAAATCAAAGCTTTTCAGGGACACGCTTCTTAGCCGTCATCTAAACCTACAAGATATCCTGATGGATGCACCCGCTGAACCCCGGAAAAGTCTCCCATGGCCCACGCTGACAGAGGATAAAATATCCCGATCATGCTTCCAGGTAACATCCACCACCCCTGGTTCAGATGAAATCACGATAGGTGCTCTTAAACAAGACTGGCCAATAGTAGGAAGGCGGATTACAGCTTTGTTTCGCCAATGCGACCAGCTAGGAACCCACCCATCTATCTTCGAAAAGTCCAGTTTTATCATACTACCAAAATCCGGAAACCGCAACTTATCCCTCCCTAAATCTTACAGGCCGATAACTCTTCTTTCCTGCCTGAGAAAGGGACTCGAGCGACTAATAGCCCGAAGGCTTTCGTACATCGTCCTCAAACATCGGATCCTAGCTAAGGACCAGTGCAGTCCCTCGCCGCTCCTCTACAGATCTTACCACAGCCCTCGCGTGCGATATACAAGCAGCCTGGGATAAAAAGAAAGTAGTAGGAATCATTACGGTAGACGTGCAAGGAGCCTTTGATGGCATCCAAAAAGGGCGTCTCTCACTTTGTCTACGAAATCAGGGCAGGCCACCTAATGTGGTCCTCTGGGTAATCTCATTCATGGAACAACGAGAAGCTAGAATACATCTGGATAGGCACTTATCTTCATCGTTTGAGATCCTCTGTGGCCTACCCCAAGACTCCCCTGTCTCTCCTATTCACTTCCTCCTGGCAAGTGAAAAAATGCTTCGACTGTCGCGTGACCGCTTTGGGTACGCTGATGATATCTCTCATTTCTCTTCCGCGGCCTCTTTAACATCGTGTTTCAGCCTCTTCTAAACTCAGCTTAACAAAATCCTCTCCTGGGGTTAGGAAAATGGGTTCTTTTTTGATACTTCGAAGACGGAGCTCCAGTACTTTCACCGGAAACGTGGCGATGTAATAGAGCCAACAATCTACATGGGTGACATTGAGATACTACCAAACAACAACACCCGCTGGCTCGGACTTTACCTCGATCGTGGCCTACGCTTCCGATATCATGTCAGTGAGGCCTGTAGGAAGTCCCTAGCCATCACAAGCCATCTTAAATGACTCTCGTGCACCACCCGCGGTATCAGCCCCCCACTCCTCAGGCAAGTTATTCAAGGAACGGCTTTCGCTATCCTCTTCTTTGGAGCCGAGACATGGTATTCCAAAAGTACTCCACAGGAAATAATAAGGCGTGTTCAGCGCAGAATTAATGATGCTGCTACAGCCGTCCTTCCTATCTACCGAACGACTCCGACTCCTGCCCTTCTTCGAGAGACCGGATGGGGGCGGCTAGCTCATGGCTACAATGGATACACGACCGCATTATAGTGCGAGTCGCATCTGCAGACCCACGTCACCCTTTACGGCGGCGCTGGACTTCCTCCCGAATGTTGTGGATCCGACAAAGAACATCTCCGGGACTTTCTACTGATACAATACCACCCCCATGAAATACCAGTCGCGAGATACTTCTGCAAAATATCAGGGCTATAGGCAGAAACAATGGCCGGAAGAAATTCATGAGATGGCAAGCATCTCAACCCCCTTTGGATCTATTCGTTTCCTCTGATGGGGCCCTTTTAGAGGGTAGAGCCAGGTCCGGATATGTTATCTATCGCGGCCTCACACAGATAGTTGGGCAGGGGACCCTTCCTCTCGGAGTATCAGACGAAGTGTATGATGTAGAAATAGCCGCGGCCACTGAAGGCCTAAGTGCCGCTCTCCATAATCCGACGGCTCGATATGCCACAAATATTACGGTTTGCCTAGATAATCAGGAAGCCTCCCTTCGTCTCCTAGTAGATACTCCTTCCCACAGCAGCTCCTCTCGTATCGCTCACTTTCGATACCTTGCTACCAATTGGACAGAGAGAGATCGCAGCCACTTTTCCGAACCAGGTGTAGTCAGGGTGCGATGGTGCCCAGGACATGTCGGCATACCGGGCAATTAAAACGCTGACGCACTTGCTAAACAAGCATGCGCAGCCCCTACGCCCCCCTATCTCCAACAATCTCTCGAGAAAAGAGAGACATAATCTCACGACACAAAGCCTCTGTATTCCTATACTGGTCCCAAAATTTTCCCAAACGATACCAACAGCTGGGGATTAGTGCCAATATTGAGAGCTCCCCTGATCTCAAGAGCCTTAACCACTACGCTCTTGGTCGACTTCTTGCAGCTCGCTTAGATCATGGAGACTTTGCTGACTACCACCGTCGCTTTCACCACTCGGACGTTTTTCTTATCTGTGCTTGCGGGCTAGAAAAGTCTCCCGAGCACTTCTTCTTTTTTCGACTGAATCGGAGTCAGTCCCGCCTACGCAGCGGAAATAAACACCCAACGACTGGAATTCGCTGGATTCTAGACTCTCCTGAAGGAGCTATAGCATTTAGTAAATGGCTCCATGAAACATGCTTTTTTGAAGCATGCAATAACAATACTAACTAGTACTCCAATCTATAAACACTTGGCCTATATCTGCTAGAGCTTAGATTAAGAGACTTTTGGTCTAGGTGATGGATAACTTTTCTTTTCATATATATAACTATCTTCTCTACTGTATTAGAATACAAATGTCTCAGCTGGAAAGTACTTTTGAATTCTTGCGATAGTTCGGGGTGCATGGCAGGTAGGCCTTGGACCATTTATAACATGTCGGGCTTATTTAAAAGTATCGGCACGTCGGTTAGTTTATGTAGACTGAGCTCGCCAGCATGAGCCTTACGGTTGTGTTGTGAGCTGGCACGACGTTAAATAATAATGAATAAAATAAATAAATTATGGCAAGTAAGAACTCAAGGTTTAACCGAAACCTGGGCAGGACCCAAAGTAGTATTGCAACACAAATGAGAAGTGAGCATATCGGCCTCAACCCTTATCTATGTAGAAGAAAGGTCACTGGAGTGGCAAATCCAAAGTGGAAATGTGGATATCTGTCCGGATTAAGTCCTAATCAACGATGTCTAGGCTAATTTTGCTATGTTGTAGGCTACTGTTCCAATTATTCATGGGGTCATAGTCAGGGTTGTTGGTAGTTTCGGTTTGGTATAGGTTATTAGATTGATACCTGAGCGTGTCGCATAGTAGTCAGATATTCGACTCAAGTAGCATTTGCACGGTAAACCTCAACCCCAAAACGATGATACGAATCGAGTTTTATATACTAGGTCCTGTATGGTTAGCGTGGTTGGAATATGGGGAATTTACCTGGAGATAGATAAAGAAGTTGACGCCCTCTGATAGTTGGGATAAGTCTTCTATAATATTATATCGGAGTCAATACTAGCCTCTCATTAAGCAGTCTCATGAATTATTTCCAATGTCTATGATAACAGACGTACAAATACAAAGTCGACGAACAAGTTTATAGTGAATAAATATCCGCCACAAAACGTGAAATATATGGTCATGGCTTGTCCTCGATAGGCTAAGGGAAGAGGAGAGGTGCTGTAATAGGCAAAAGAAAGGTCTTTCGAAGCTATGATAAACAGCCCGGATGACATTAAGAGAATTACAGAATGGAGACTTAGTAACGACTGGCTTGAACAGTTCCGGCTTGCAGAAGAAGTTGAGACAGCAGTCAGTGAAGGGATTGAGCGATCGGGAAAATGATAGGACGGTATTCACACTGGACGTACAGTGTAAGCGCACTTCCCGTAGGACATCTCAGAAAACCAATAGATACGGGACAGAAAGTTTTGAGGTTTTTTACCGAGTTGGTTTCCTCCCTTGTAAATATTAGAACTAGATATACCTGCATGGGTCCATACGGTGCCAGTAGGGCTAATGAAATCAAATCAAACTTGAGTTTTAAAAGATAATAAAGCTAAAGGGCAAAGCTCTGCCTACAAGTTACAAATAGAATGAGATTGAAATTAAGCGGGCAGTAATAACGATGTCATCAGTGCTTCCATAACGTCAGACTGCCGTAGGTATCCCAATCCAACTTCACACTCGCTTACTACATCCCGAGCCACTTAAACGATTACATGGTTTTGTGGTACATCATCTGGACTGGTCTACCAAATACACTCTGGACAGCTTAGACACATATCCAACTTGAGACATGAGATCGCTGGTTAGAATCCGGCAAAGTTCTTGTGGTGCTTCAGCACATGGATAACTAAGTTATAATTGGATAATCAAGGGTTTTTAGATTTCACTTCGGCAGAGCTCACGGAGGAGAGTCGAATCTTCTGCGAAAGCGAATACATCTTATTATGGTATTTTTATATGAAATCCTGAGTGTAAGTGTCTTTGAAGTTTAAAGATTTAATATAAATGTATGCAAAACACCGGTCATCTGTCACACGTAGAGAGTGTTGAAGCTTTGTCGTGAAGTGAATGAGACGAGAGTGAGGTTTTTGGGTCACGATGTTTGAGATAACTGAGATGTGGATGTTTGAGTTCCTTACTATTATTGTTGTACTAGTTAGGGTTGTGTTTTCTATATACAAAAGGGATTTCTCCATCTCCAAGTGGGCCAGATCGCTTAGATCTGGCTAGCGGCTTTCGCCATCCTGTTCCTTCTCCCCCGCATGGCATCACGTGCTATACAACTACTGCTCACCATGAAGTCCAAGGATGAAAAGCGTTAGATTGCAATAGAAAGTTGCATATGCATAAAACGAATCAAGATCAACGCGACGCGGCCTGTCGTTAAAGTGTCGGTACCACCGAGGATCCCGAACTCCGAGTCCGATCGAAACGCCAAGTTTTACAGCAAGCGAGCCGCCGAGTTCCAAGATGCCATCGAGAATTCACACCCCGCATTCCTTGGCCACAATCCGAGCGGCTAAGCGCCCCACTGATCCCCTACTGTATTTTGATAGTTCACTTTGCCATGTGGTATTGATCCTTACAGTACCTGGAGTATGAAGAATTTCTGGTGTTGAAGGAGGTGTCATAAAGACAATAGAGATACAAGTTTACGCCTAGTTTCAAGTTCTGCACACACGTAGATTGTCGTAGTCGGAGCCACAAGACACCCGTGAATTTCACTGTCATTATTTATCATTTTATTCCTACTGGCTGTTACAGGCTAGTGCCTTACTAGTTGGATCCGGAGATTATCCGGCTCCGTTTGCTTACAGCATGCAGCGCTAGTAACACGCTGGAGGGTAGATAGATAGTTACTAGAGCGTAAATATTTTCTCTTTTTAGATTAATATAGACTCATTTTGGGGGACTTTTCGAGCAAACAGCAACATTGGCTGTTCTTTCACACTGAAGTGCACAAGAAAACTCACCACTACCCGAAATCTCTGACTTGGCGCCCACAAACACCTCAAAGCCTATAACCTTCAATATAGATCAAACTCAGCGTGCCTGTAGGTGAGATGTTTCCTGTCTTGTACCAGGTTCTAGCTAATCATCCTCCCTCAAGGTTTTAAAGTCCCATTAGAGAAGTGGTCCCTCATTATCCAAGCCCTATATTTTTTTTATATTACGACTTGATTTGATTTCATTATACTAATTTGGTGCTCTATATGTCGATACAGTTGTCTAATGACTTTGACATTAACCTGGGAAGAACTGCAACCTCTCTTATTTGATGTTTTTAGTTTACTTACATGTCCTTCGGGAAGTGCAGTTACTATATAGTGCCATCCATGTGAGCCAGTCACATCTTCTCTATTGGAGGAATATTCTCAAAGTGTCGGATCATTGTCAGTAGCTCATGATGTCACGTGGCTGAATCATGTGACATACTTCCATTAAATCTTCCTGTAGCATTGAAGGGAGTAGAGAATACACAAGAAGAATCATTGACGACATACTGCTAGCAGTTATACAGTGAATACGCCTACCAACACAAGGCCTATTAGTGGTGATCTCTATCAACCTTCAGCTCTCACTGTAGAGTCCGCAGAGCCGAGATTGAGTAACAAAGTCTTCACTTCAACGAGGATTCCAAATCGCTTTCGCGGTCTGTAGCGTCTTCATCTCTCAACACATTCCCCTATCACCATTATCATGAAGCTAACCACGATCAGATCTGATGGTAAGGTCAGATCTTCTCATCACCCACCCTTGATCATCGAGGGGAAGCCATCCGATAAGTATCCGGAGCGTACCTAGCATCCGATACGGAGATGGTGGATTAGATCAAGTTGGCCTCGACTGTTACAAAGGATGATGTAGATGGGTCTACCCACCCCGTATAGCTCCGATGTCTCAGTCTCACCTAGCTGGGACTACAAGGTTTTTGTGTTTTATTCCAAGGCATGCAGTGTCCTTTGTTACCTTTTTGGTTCGAAGATTCTCGGCACATCTGTCATCCTCATGAAGCTTCAGTATTCTTCCAGAAAGTTCCCTGTCAATATTCTAAGCTCCGTGGTTTCCGAGATCTTTCTCGAAGATTCCCTTTTTGGCAAAGCCTACGCTAGCCAGCGTAGGCTACAAATATCTTTCGGCTTAACAGCCGACACAGTGCCAAGACCTAAGTTGAATCGCACGCATCGGTTTAACCCCATACTTTATCAAATCTACTCCAAGTTTTCCTGTATTAGTTGTCGAAAGGAATTATATTCCAACAACCAAGATTTAAGCTTTATCTTACATTGAAAGGGGGATTTAGAACTTGTAGTGAGATTAAGCTGGAGGGTGTTGTGATCAGGCCCAGTTATAGATCACACAACTCGAAGTGGCTAGTATTAAGCAAGTGTTACCGACAAGACAGGCCATCCTATATCAATGGTACGTCATCGGCATACAGCAATGATATCATAATTATCTCAGATTGTCACGAAGAAATAGACTGGAGGTGCACATGTGGCCGACAAAGACGCACGTGGCATTTCTAGGAATGCCGGATAGTGCTAAAACAATGGCGAGAAACAACAAACGAAATTGCGGCAAGTTGATGGACACTGTTAGGAGAAAAGGAGTGGGGAGTATTGTATTGATTCCTTACCATGACGGGATGTTACGGGGAGAAAAGTTAAACTAGAATGACCGAGGTTTTCTGGGATACAAATATTACAGGCAAAGTGTTGTGAGAAAGCTGGTTAAGCGCAGGGCGTCGTGTCAGAGCAGCAGATATTTTCCTTTACATTTTTGGTTGTCATTCATGTAAATTTCTGGCTATATAAAGCTAGCTTCGCCGGCAAAGACGAATTCTTCACCTTCCAGTGGTGTCGGTGTAATCGCTCAGTATGCTCTGCATGCTCTGCATGTCTGGGATAGCCAGGAAGAATCGCATCCGAATTGAAGTCGAAAGCAAACACATGCATATCTCTACTTGACGACTTCTCAGTCATGCGTCACTTACCATTATACTCTAAGTCCTCAACTTCTTTCTAACCACGCATCATCTAGCCTCAACGACCGATAAAGGCGTCACCCCAATTGCAAACAGGAGCTTGCCTCATTCATTACCAGCCACCAGCCACCAGCCACCAACCCCTACAAATCTACGACGCTATGTATACCCGCAAGGAGGATATTAAGTCATAATATACAAAGTTGGGAGACTGTTGCTCTAATGGGACAAACAACTTGAGGGAAAACATGCGCCTGAGATGTGGAGTGAGAGAGGAACAGGTCTCTGAAGACCACGCTGGGACTGATATTTTCGAGGGGTTTTGAACTTTCAATTTTTGTGGGCGCCAAGACCAAGATTTCGGATAATTAGTCAGAAGGACTTCCATTGTCGATGAGTCAACGGCACTCTACAGCGCCCTGGACGGCGCAAAAGAAGTTGGGCTAGAAAGGCAGAGGGTGAATTTCCCGAGGTGCCCACAAGTTTGCAGCGCCGAGCTGGTCGGCCTCTTCGAACGCTTCAGAAGGATCACTGTGTCTTCGGATTTAGTCCTGATGTCGGTACTAGGAGAGCTCCGCACCCAGTGGTTTTTGCAATTTTTCCCGGCTGCCATACACCTACAAATGGCCATCTTTTCGTTGGCTGGAGAGGGGAGATAATGAAGGGCAAAGGGATCCTCTAAGTGTATAATCGAATGAGGACTTGTGAGGGGCGGTACTGTTTGAGGGGAGCTATATGGGAAACATTGGAGGGGATATACTACTGCCATAGGTATCCTTGGCCTATAGGCAGAGAGGACCTGCATGTCCTACATAGTCATAGACTCAGGCAGGACAATAAAATAAAATAAAAGCAAGTTTTAGCGATAGTTATGGGTCCTTCGGGAACATGCACCCGTGTCAGGCCTCCTAGATGTAGAGCTTTAGCCTGATACCTTAAATTACTCTAAACAAATGAAACCTTTATCTCAGCAATAAATGATTGTAAGGTCATATGGTGCAGGTATATCTAGTGATATTATTGTTGAATGATTGAATAGTGGCTTATTTTTTAAAAACATTTAATGTGTATTCAGCTATCTAGCTATGACACATGACTGGTGCGATGTATACATGTTGGATGACTCTTTCGACGTTAGAGACACTCATACTCTGGATTTCATTCGCAAATACCACTATGAGGAATGTTCGTTTACACAAACAGTCAACCCTCCTCCGTTAGTACCCACCAAAGGGAAATTCGAAACCTCTGGTTATTCAAGCATGCCTTCTTCATCCATGCATACTAGCGTCGCGAGAAATGTGGTTGTGTTTTTCCGGACTTGAACCAGCGATCTACTGTCTCGAGTGGGATATGTGTCCAAGCTACCCAGACTCTTCTTGGCAGACCAGCCAAGACGATGTACCACCGCACCATCCAGCCATGGCGATGTTTATAGTCTCGCCTGCACTCTCGCAACCGAAGCCTTGGCGCGCACAAATCTCAATTTGTCAAAACTCCTTGCCAAATTTCAAGATTCCCTACCGTCGAGACTGTATCCATCCTTCGCATCATCTTTTGAACTTGTACTGAATCTTCTCAAGCCCATCCCAAATGTTTGGAGTCGTTGCCATGAAAGGTATCAAGGAAATAATCATCACTCAGTCATTGAGATTGAGGAGCGCATCGATTCAAGTAACTACTGAAGTGAAACTAAGGACACAATTTATAATAACGTGTGTATCGACAACGTGGCCTTCTTGGATGCCCAGTTATTTTAAATTCTAACAATCCGCCCTAGATTAATTGGGCGTACTCCTCGTCTTCCTTGACTTTGCCACATTGTACATATGCTTGAATGGTTAATTGTCTGCTTCCTATCTGTTCTTTAAATATTCGATGAATCAATCCAAGCTAGGTATTCTTTAGAATTGACTCATCTCCTATTACTTACCCCCACATGCACTTTAGAGTCCTAAGGTTTTCCAGAGTGACCTTTCAGTTTGTTGTCGTTAATTTCGGAGACTCCCCTAAAATTTTGTTGTGATCTTGGGGTAGCTTGGTCCCGGTTGATGGAGACGAGTGCGCTAAGGATTGGCAAGGTTCATAGGTTCTTATTTGATGCGACTTGTCGCACATGTAGTATTTTTAATATTTTTTTTGTTTTTATTGTCCTACTTGAGTTTATGACTATCTAGCACATTGGGCTCCTCTTTAACCCAGGCCACACCTTTTTTTTTTTTTTGCATCAGATTTTAATTGCGTATGCAGCTATCTAGCTATGACACAATATCGAAGAAAAGTACAGAATAGATGATTCATCGTTAAGGAAGAGCACTCATGCCTCAGATTTCATTTGTAAGTACCACTGCGAAGTTGTGGTGGCTTTTTCTTCACCCCAAGTCAACCCTCATCCGTGAATACCCACCCAGGGGAACGTCTCAAAAACCATGAGTTATCCAGACATGCCTCTGTCATCCATTAAGTTTTCTCCGCGCGAAATATGGTCTGAGGTATCTCCTTCCCAAGTGGAGTAGGTGCCCAGGCTACTCAAACTATACCGGAGAACACCACCAGGAGGCGGACAACACCTTCCATCGTTTGCTTGTTTTTATAGTGTGAGCTGCACTGTCGCAAGCGAAGTCTTGGCGCGCACAAATCTCAATTCGTAAAACTCCTTGCCAAATTTTGAATCTCATGCCTTTCAAGGTTATATCCATCGTTTGCATCATCCTGTGAACTTGTCCTGATCCCTCTCGCGTCCATTCCAAAGAACTGTCTCCCAGATTTGTGCGCCACGCTTTCCTTCCTCCGTCGGGTGTAAATATCGGCGTGGGCGTGTATTTGGTGACCAGCTGAGGCCAGAGAAGGTCGAAGAGTGGTGTGGTCATTGGAACGAGGATGTACTTGGTCGCACTTGTAGACTCGATGAGACGACGATAGGAGTCAAACTCGCTGGGAGCGAAATAACGACGTGGATGAGTAATTTGGGTTTTTGCCTCGTGGGCCAACTTCTTTGATATTGCGAAATTTGACTGAACTTGGCTCTGGGAGAATATTTCACTCCCAGGTTCGTAGAGGACACCGCGTACAGGTGTTCAGTCTTGCCCTCCCAGGCCACACCTTGTACAGTGCTCCTGGCCTCTTTTTTTCTTGTAAGATCATTGATGTATTCCCCTTGATGAATAGCCATTCAGCTCAGTGTTTACCCGTGGAATTCGGCCACCTTTTCCACGGAACCTTCTACCCAAAAAAATTAAAAAATTGGTAGCAATGGAGACTGCGTGCGCGGGAAAAAGTCTCAAAACCCTGCAGCCCCAGCCAGGCGAGGCCTAGACACCGGGACCACATGAGGTGCGCATATTCATCTATATCTCCCTTCTTTGTAACAGTCGAGGCCGACTTGATCCAATCCACCATCTCCGTATCGGGTGCTGGTTACGCTCCGGAAACTCATCGGATGGCTTCCCCTCGATGATAAGGGTTGGTGATGAGAAGGGCTCCGACCCTACCATCTAATCTGATCGTTGTTAGCTTCATGATAATGGTGATAGGGGAATGTGTTGAGAGATGAAGACGCTACAGCCGCGAAAGCGATTGGGAACCCTCGTCGAAGTGAGGACTTTGTTACTGAATCTCGGCTCTGCAAACTCTACAGTGAGAACTGGAGGTTCGTAGGGGACACCACTGACAGGTACTGAGAATAGTCCCCCTCGCAGATGTGGTAAATATACATTCATCCTTTCCTACACATGAATCTTCCATATCCATATTGTAGAGAGTAGTTTTATTCAAGTATTTTACTATCCATTATTTACATACTTAAATAAAACACAGAATTCTCGGTATACATACAGGTGTCAGAGTCAGTACTAGTACCCTAGGTAACCTCATGTCATAGTAAATTTGGCGTCTTAGTGTCAGTCTTTCTCAGATCTCAAATACACTCCCCCAGTTTCCGTACTGTGGTTGTTCCAGTGTTAATCCTATCCAAGTCACTAGTGTTCCATTGTCTCATTTCCCTCTACAAGAAACTCCCCACTATTATATCCCTTACAAAGACTTTTATTCCAGAGCGTACTATGTGACAGCTCTCTCATCCCATCACCAAGCTCCACTTGGATTTCTTTCTACCTTGCTTTAGTCTTATTTTTTCACCAATTAGTCTTCTACTTTTTGACTTAATCTTTCCCATGACAATGTACTGTAAAACGAAGATTGCCGTTAAGAGGGTGTTAATTTTGAGGCCTTAGGCTATTGTAGAGACTTTTTGTTGTCAGTTAACTTGATGAATTTCCCTCTGCTTAGATAAAGGCGAAGACTGTAAGAAGTGAAAGTCTTGAGAGTGTAAATAGCAGCTTTCTAAGCGGGACTGCTGGGTTGAGGTTCGTATGTTCTCGGAAACCAGCAGTGAAAAGTTTTGCGACAGCTCTCGGATGGGAGTTATCAAGTTGGGGATTCGTCAAACTTCAGATAAGAGTCAAACAATTCTTATTATGACAGCTGTCGTAAAGTAGCCGCTAGATTCTAACGTTGGGAACAGCTTTCGTACTGGAGCTGCCAGGTTTATGTTTCTTTTCGGATTTTTCGGGTCGACTCATTTGACCCATGGGTTCTCTCTCTTAAAGTCCCTCATTGGGCTGGCTACCGGTTTTCCCAATCAGTCTAAACTATATTGGGCCTAGTTTTTTGTTTCAAACGCTGACGAGCCAAGTATGAGTCTAACTATTAATAGATGAAACCTATTCGCGCCGTTGGAAGCTAATTCCTGCAGGGCCTCACTCAGACGCCGCACGTCTAGGTCTGATCCTGGGCCTAGATGTGAGATGGATGAAGGTCTAAGATAGACGATAATTTTTTCCTTGAAGCACGGATTTTAGCAGAAAAATAATGCTTGCGGAGATTTAGCAAAATGATTTGTTGTTTACGGTTTAGAGCAGACTTAAAGAAACTTTATTGGTACCAGGTCGACAAGCGATATACTCATTTTGGTTCCTGTATTCATTTAACAGAGTTGTAATTAATTGCTATACTTTCGCTCCAATATTTTCAGCCTATCAAGGGAAACCACTATACGCAGACTTGTTACCATCCTGATTCTTATCTTCCGTACTTTGATACTCACCCTGTACCTTTTAGGATCAAGATAAAAAGTGCATATACTGAAGATGCTATAATGTTTTGTAAATGTCTAAAACGGTAGTTTGGATTGTCTAGCACAAAAAAATCTGGTTAGGAAGCTTAACATTGTGGAGAATATATTAAGGCTACTAGGGGAACTTTGGTGATTATTCTTTGAGGGAATAAAAGAAAAGTTTTTGCTTGACCAAGTTCAAGCGGGACGGACACAATGACAATAACACCGCGATTTTTTGGGGAGTCTTGAAGGAGAGAATAGTGTAATTTATGACCGGAATTCATTGTAGCTTAAGAAGATTCACACATATTTTTGCGCGCTGATTTATTCAAAATTCGTCTGGTTAATCTTTGAAAGATTCCTGAGTCTCTACGTCTTATTTGACCTGTCGTACATTGACGACAAATAATTGCACCAAAACCCAAATGTTTAAATCTTCATCGATTTCACAGGTTGAATCAGAGGAAAGCACGGCAAGTTGTGCCATAGAAACTTTGATCTACAGTCAACGAGTTCTGGGTTACTTGCTGACTCCTGATAGTAAATAACATGGCCAAATCTTATATTGCAAACTAAAGCATGTAGAGGGGAGGATGACAATAATTCAGTTAAATATCTATTGCCCATATTTTTAGATGGATCCTTGCATGCATCTTATAGAGACTGCAAAAACTTACTGAGAATATTGTTGCATATCATGATAAAGGCCTCGAGACTTTGTTGCAGAACATTAATTCTCTTAACCTGTAGCAGCTTCATCTCAGCTCACTGATCATCCTCACGCTGTCCTCACACCAAATGCTAATTACTCGCATTCGTTCCAGATTTACGTGAAAGACAAGTCGCACTATTTTCCTTCAGGTCAAATAAACATTCGAGGTTTGAAAGACGAGCAAATGACGGAGATTGCGTAAGGAATTTGAATAAGAGATATCCCATGGTCTTCTAATTTCATAACAATCATTATCCAAGCTGTACCTGGATTAAGACTAGCGACTTTGATACTGAAAGTTGGATGGATATCACGTGCATAGCTGACACGTAGCACTGGGCGCCAATTAACGTTGCGGCCAGAGTTCAGATATTCGGGGTTGCTGAGAATTTGAGTCTTTTACGGGAAGGTTCCCGGCCACACGTGTCATGGCTTAAAGAAGTTGGAACAAATACCTCCGTGATTGTAGTGCACTGTATCTTTCCAGCATTCGAAGTGTGGGCAAGTGGAATAGCGTAACTTACCATATCAACTAATCGGTTCGAGATGTCAACAATCAGTGGACCATTCTAGCCATCACTTCTTCCACCAAGCCTACTCATCATAGCCACCATATCCTTCCGTCTATTTCGGGGTCCTTGATTAGTCGGAAGATTAACAACCTCGGAATGACTCGCCGTCTCCATGAATAATCAAGCAAGTGTCAGCAAGTCTGATCTGCCGGTAAAATGATGTGATTTCTTATCACCAGAGTTTTCTACATCATACCGTTGCCATTAGTGTTGGTCTGTGCGGATTGACTCTTGGTATTAAATTTGCGGTGGACCTTAGGAAGAGTCTCCAATGCATCTGCCATGAGAAATCATTGGTAATAAACTACTCAGATTAATGGGACTATAATACTTGGGTGGAGTGGATGGAGGGCTTGTGGATTCAGTTGACGCATTTCGACGGATTCCTATCATCTAGATCAGGGGATCAGCCTCGGGCGCTATGTGAGATTGTTTTAGGTGAATGCGAATCGCCCCCTTTAGCGTGACTGGCGCATCGTCTCCTCTTCCCCTTGATGGGAGCGGCCGCGCCTCTGGCCTCGAACTGGGGGTGTGGGGCGGGGGCAATGTGAATGAGTGAATGAATTGCCATGGATGCATCCAACACACATTTCATGAACTTTTCTCTCATCCGTCCCCTAGACCAGCTGCCCCTCCTCTGCCCGCCTCGCGTGGCAAAATCCCTTAATCGTCTCATCGTCAAGTGTGTCTGCTGCGCTGCCTTACCACCCAAAGAAATATTCTCCGGAATAACCTCAGTCTCTCTTTTATCTCTATTCATTCTTTCATTCTTACCCACTTACAAGAGGTAGAACCTCAAACTTATTTCCAAACTACTTACCTCATAATTGTGCTCCTATCTCCCTCTCTCGACTTACAGATTAACAGCGTCCCATGCATTCTACACTCCAATCTTTCTGACGCATTTGGATGATCTACGAGCCTAGGAAAAAAGTTGGGCCGAGCCACGGTATCACCGAATCCTACAGACGTCAATTCAACACCACTGGCCATCATGTGGCATGCTCTTACATTATCGACAATTTCACTCATATTAACTGCGACTCTACCAACCTTAGTTCTCGGCGGGCAGGTTCTCCGTACATCAAGTTTCACCACATGTTTGTCGAACACAAATACGACAGTTCAGCATCTAGATATCAAATATAATGCTGAAGACCGAACAGTTACCTTTAATGTAACAGGAACCAGTGGATCCGTACAGAACGTAACAGCCCAGCTCAATGTTACTGCCTATGGAATTGATGTATACCACAACACATTCAACCCATGCTCCACGAGCACCTTCGTCTCACAAATCTGTCCTTGTTTGTAACCTGCTTCTCCATACCAGCGCAGATAGACTGACTCTGTCAATAGTACCAGCAGGAACCTTCTCAGCTAACGGTACACAAACAATACCTGATCAGTACGCGTCGCAGATACCGGATATTGCATTCTCAGTTCCCGATATTTCTGCTACAGCAACACTACAATTAAAATCACTAGACACAGGTGCCGATATTGCATGTGTGCAAGCTGAGGTGAACAACGGGAAAACTGCAGGCGTTCCTGCTATTTCATTCGTCGCTGCTGGAATTGCCGGAGCGGCATTAGTCGTCACAGGCGCCTCAGCTGGAGCTGCAACTGTTGGAGGAAGCGTATCCGGTGGTACTGGCACAACAACTCCATCATTCACTGAGGTTTTCGGTTGGTTCCAAGGAATAGCTATCAATGGCATGATGTCAGTAAATTACCCGCCCGTATACCGGGCATTCGCGAAGAATTTTGCCTTCAGCACAGGAATTATTCCCTGGACAGTAATGCAGGTATCTATCGATGATTTCCGAGCAAGGACCGGGGGTGATTTATCCCACAACAGCGTTGAGGGTTTACGACAGGACCTTGACGGTACAAGCTCTGCCAAGATATCGCGACGAGCTTATCAAGCCGTACTTATGACAAGAGACGCCTTTGTGGCTCCTCCCAAGCTCATGCCAGCAGAAGCTTTATCAGATCCTTTAAACACAAAGGTCGAAGTCACCGTTAAGGGTATTAAAGGATATGTGGAGGAGCTATCTGTTCCCGAAACAAACGTCTTTATGACTGTCCTATTAGCTGTGGTGTGCGTAATTGCTGCTATAACCGTCGGTATTCTTCTATTAAAGGTTGTCCTAGAGGCTTGGGCGGTTTTTGGCTCATTCCCTAAGGGTCTTGCCGGATTCAGAGAACACTACTGGGCTACTATGGCGCGACTAATCGTTCAACTTATTCTCGTTCTCTACGGAGTTTGGGTGCTCTACTGTATATTTCAATTTACCCATGGAGATTCATGGGCTGCCAAAACACTTGCCGGGATTACTCTGAGTATATTCACAGGTACACTCGCCTTTTTCACATTCAAGATTTGGCAAACTGCAAAAAAACTCAAAGAGACTGAGGGTGATGCGTCTGGCCTTTATGAAAAAAAAGAAAACTGGATTAAGTACAGTATGTTTTATGACAGCTACAGTAAAGATCACTGGTGGCTTTTTCTACCAGCTATTATTTACATGTTTGCTAAGGGCTGTGTTCTTGCCGCAGCTGATGGTCACGGTCTCACACAAACTCTTGCTCAGTTATCTATTGAATTATTTAGTAAGTTTATTTCTAGCTAACATAATTGTCTTCGACTAATAGTTAAAGTGCTTATCATACTAATTTGGAATCGACCTTTTGAGCGTCGATCTGGAAATGTGATGAATATAATTATCCAACTAGTGCGGGCTCTTTCAGTCGCCTGTATTCTTGTTTTTGTCGAAGAGCTTGGAATCTCACAGACTACCCAGACTATTACAGGTGTAGTACTGATTGCTGCCCAATCTATTCTCACTGGTGTCCTAGCTCTTCTCATAGCCACAAATGCCATTATCATGTGCTGCAAACAAAATCCTCACCGTAAGCGTCGTAAGGAAGCCGGAAAACTGAATCAAAGTCCAGATAGTCCACCTCCATTAGAAAATGAGAAATATTTTACGGACTCGAGTGTAACAGAAGTGAAAACTACCTACAGTAATGATCCGCCAAGATTTTATCCCGAACCAATGGCACCAAATGATAACCAATTTTATCAGGAATCTATCTATTCTAACGCTCGACAAGTACCCGTTCAGCAGTATAGACCATATTCAGGGTTCGAAAATACGAGCTCTAGGGGTCGAAGAACAGAGAGCCGAGATGGCTTGCTGGAAAGGAACTTCCAGATGGCAGCACCGGATCGGCAGCCCTATCAGCAATATCAGCAATATCAAGGACGATATTGAGGGTATAACGTGTAGAAGGGCTAATGATTTGAGTACCTTTCTTTTTGTATGAAACAGAGTTAGCGCTGTACTCTATCTTTTTGACAGCTTTGCCTTATGGCAGAATGAATTAGATACTTCTAGCTTCTTTCTGATTTGAAACTGCATACGTGCTACCATACCCGCCTGTTTTTCCAGTCTTAAACTCGGGGCTGGTATACTATTTATAGTTTGTAATTATCTACTAGCTGGGCACTTTACACCCCTCAATCATGTTTTTTGACAATATTAAATTCATCGTACTGTTTAGCGGACATTAGAGTGTGGAGTAAATGTTATGATACTCAATTATTCTCCGGTATTTTTCCGCTTTACTAAGGCGAAAGTTTGAGCCAGCGAACAGCACAAATCAGATTACCAGATACTAACAACACCTCGACGTCATAATTTAGAATTCTATCAAGACGTCAGAGTCTGTGTGACAAAGGTTATTTAGCGCTATTCTGACCAACTGAGGCCGATACTAGCTAGGATCAGACAGCCAATTGACTACTAGAGCATTTATTTATAGATACATTCGACAGCTGCCATACTAAATATGGCTTCGCTAGATGAATACGTAGATCCAGCTCAGCCGGAGACTAGACACTGAATCCCTGACATTAGTTCAGCATTAGCGCCAGCCAGAGTGCGAAGGTTTCGGTCTAGGATGTACCATATGCATCCGCCCGTCCTCCAGTGCCTAACCAGTGGCGGGCATTGCATCAACCCTGGTTGGACTGGTACATTCAGTGCGTCTGCTGACGGGACCTGGCGAAGTCCGCTGGCGGAAAGTTGCTTCGGGCATGTAGCTAAATGTTGATACGCAGGTGCACAGAATTGCCACGGGTGAAAGTTTATAGAGGAGCTTTAGCAGTGGTTTAAGCATTTTCACTGAGCCTATTTAAGCATGGACACCTTCCACATTGGGCTTAGCCCCCGTATTTGTGCAAATTGTTGAAAAGATATGTATGGCAAATTTTTCTGCATACCGCAGTTTTTAATGGGAGTTTGTTTTATCCTAAACCTTATCAGTATAATGATCGGCTGTATGGAGGGCAAGACTGAACACCTGTACGCGGTGTCCTCTACGAACCTGGGAGTGAAATATTCTCCCAGAGCCAAGTTCAGTCAAATTTCGCAATATCAAAGAAGTTGGCCCACGAGGCAAAGATTCAAATTACTCCACCATGTTAATCTTTCACTCCCAAAGAGTCCGATTCTCAACTAAGCTTCATCAAGTCTACAAGTACGACCTAGTACATCCTCGTTTCAATGACCACACCTCTCGTCGACTTTCTCTGGCCTCAGCCGGTCACCAAATACACGCCCACGCCGATATTTATACCCGACGGAGGAAGCAAAGCGTGGAGCACAAATCTGGGAGATAGCTCTTTGGGATGGACGTGAGAGGGATCAGGACAAGTTCACAAGATGATGCAGAAGAGGGATACGTTTTCGACGGGCGTGGAATTTTGAATTTTGGCAAGAGTTTTACGAATTGAGCTTTGTGCGCGCCAAGACTTCGCTTGCGAGAGTGCAGCTGACACTATAAAAACAAGCAAACTATGGAAGGTGTTGTGGTCCGCCTCCTGGTGATGTTCTCTGGTATGGTTTGAGTAGCCTGGGCACCTACTCCACTTGGGAAGGAGACATCTCAGATTACATTTCGCGCGGAGAAAAGTTGATGGATGACGGAGGCATGTCTGGATAACTCAGGGTTTTTGAGACGTTCCCCTGGGTGGGTATTCACGGATGAGGGTTGACTTGGGGTGAAGAAAAAGCCACCATAACTTCGCAGTGGTACTTGCAAATGAAATCCGAGGCATGAGTGCTCCTCTTGTAAATTGAGTCATCTTTTCTGTAATTTTCTTTGATATTGTGTCATAGCTAGATAGCTGCATACGCAATTAAAATCTGATGCAAAAAAAAAAAAAAAAAAAAAAAGATCGGCTGTATGAAATTTGTGCATTTGTGCACTTTTGCTATTTTACTCTATAACTTGTCTACAAGAGTTCAAAGACATCCGGACCACAATTTATAACCCCACTGTCTTAGCTTAACCCTGGATCTGAACGTGTGGTTGGAAAAAAAATTCGGCCTTAATATTTGATTGATGTCCCATCTGCATCTACCACAGCCTGGCATCTCCCTGGTATACACTGAATAAGTCTCACAAAATCATTGGGAAACACAAAATCCCATGCGTCCTTTACGATATTGTGAAGACTATCTCGAGTACACTGCTTTCCGCCGCCTAGATACGAATGATGATGTTGGATGTATACCTTCGTTCTACCTCAAACATCTTCAATTGGATTAAGATCAGTCGAGTTGGTCAGCAAGAGGATCATTTGGATGAGCCTCTTGCTCATTTCTTCCACCCCACTTGCTGCTGCACGAGCAGGAGTATTTGTTAGAAATTGTCAAGGATTTCTAGGAGGAAATATCTCGAAGAATAAGTATACAATTTAGGACAAAAATTTATTGATAGTTGTATAGAATATCGAAGTTTCTTCTCAGTATGAATTAATAATATATAATATTTCGTTAACTTGGTTTAACATACATAGATGAGTCTATCCTTAAATACAAATTCTCAAGACTTTAGTGATCCCAAACTAAAAGTGATCTAGCAACAAACGGCCACTCAATTATCGCAACATAGCATTTCCTAGCCACTGCATTTCAGATACCACTGAACCTCATGTCGCCTAGCTAAGCTTAGTCATATGCAATCATATCAACTCAATTGATCTTGATGATCATACCTAGATATCTAAACCTTCATACATACTGAGTCTAGATTTCCAACAGTATTATGCTGCATTACGGACAGCCACGGTCTCGTCGAGAACATGCCATCAATAAGAGGAACTATTTTCTCGCAATATTTTTGGGAGTCGATAGATCTCAACCCCTTATCCCAAAATCAACGGACATCTTTTTCTGAGTCTGTGACGCAGACCCAGAACATACAGCTAGCCCTATTCTTCATAATTTTCCCAACACAATCAGTATGGTTTCTAGGGAAGTACAGCTCACATTTTTTGAACATCAAGTTTCTTTCTTTTTAAAGAGGAATACACGAACACTTCTTGTTACCCATTCTCTAGAATTCCTTCCATCCTTTACCCAAGTTTCGTCTGTCTATAAAGCTGACGTCCAGTTTTCAAATGTCCAGTAGAGATAATCTTCGGCCCATTCTCTGCATCTCATCATAGTTTTTTGAGATGCTCAAGGCTTTAGGCGAGCTATATGTCGTTGATATCCTCTTCACCTAAGCTCTCCTCGTGTTATCCGCTCACTGACACCAAGATATCTATAGGGGCCAGAGGCGAGTTCTATAAATTTTTTGCAGCTGTTTTCAGGTGAAGGCTTAACATAAGATATAATCTGATTAATATCATCTGATTTCAGGGTTGAGGATATTCTTTTTCTCTTTTTGGGGGAGACGGTTCCACGGCGCAGTGAATAGCTACCTTTTCCCCGAGGGATGACTAGTTGCGCGGCAATCTGCGTCTGATTTTTGCCAGATATATGGAGCTTAAAAATATGAAAAATTTCTTTAATTTCCATCAGTTATGTTTGATTCTTCCACTGACTATATGTTTTGATCCCTAGACAATTGTTTGAATCAAGGCGTTGAAGTTGGAGACTGAGATGGATTCATCTGCAAATTAAGGTTAGTATCGGGGGTAAAGTGTTGTACTGGTGATGGCTAGGATTACGATGCACGAGGGTAATGATCACTGAGGGTGAAGGAAGAACTTTCCAGGTGGCTCCATGATGAGTAGAGGAACAATGGAGCACTGTATAGAAAGTGTTTCTAGATTGTACTGCCAGATGGAGGAGACTAGAATATTCCGTGATACTATTTTGGGTAAATGAGGCGAGAGTCTAGCTACCTCAGATGTGTATATAATTAGCGCTTTCTACTTCCTAAATCCTCATAGTTCTGAATATCAAATATATCAGCAGTTCTGATTGATTCATCGATGATCACCCGAAAACCTTCTGCTAATTAACCTCCGTAAGCTCTTACCTTTACAACATAAAGCCATGTTTCTGGTGAATAAACAGCTTTAGTTTTGGGAAATCTAATTCTTGCTGTCAGACAAGCACACGATGAAAAGAGCCGTACAACATTTCAGCGGTATGCGAATATAGAAGTGGTGGAAAATAAACTTGAAGTTAATAGGGGGGATTTGCATAAAACTGATAGTGACAAGAAATCAACTTATGCCCTTATTTGAGGCCTTGAAATTCCAGGCAAGGCTTGGAATTGGCAATACCAGGGTATACCTGCACATGGTAGGGAAGGTAACAGATTTTATGTGCAATTTTTGTGGGAAAGAAAGACAAAATGTGCAACACTTGTTGTTACACTGTCAAAAATTCAGAGACCAAAGGAATATTTGCTTCAAAGGTTTAGAACCAACAACACTTCCAATCTTATTTTGTACAAAAATGGGGAAGGAAGCATTACTTAAGTATTTGGATATATCCAAGTGCATGGCAGCACACAAAGGGAATTAAATTAGGATAAGTGATTGGGATACAGTTTATTGGGCTTTGAGGGAGAATAGATGAATTTGGGGGGAAAGTTTAAATTTGGAATATTTGAAATGTGTCATAGCTAGATAGCTGAATACACTATGAATTTAAAAAAAAAAAAAAAAAAAAAAAAAAAAAAAAAAAAGAGGCCTTGAAATACTGGACAAGACTTTATCCCCTGTCGAATAAGGTGCTACAGTGCGGACTTATTATAAGGTTATTCGATATAAAGATATTCGCCTTAGAACGATGTCTTCGTCGCGCACCCACTACGTCCTCATGGTAAATGTAACAAATTAACAATATTCGATATGACGTTGTCACCATCGCAGTTTTATCGTTTTATCGAATAACTGTCACATGATGTAACGACTGTCATTGGCTAAAGCCCGATTAAATTCAATCTTCTGCCTACTAATCAAGGC